CGTCTCAACAAGGAAGAGCTCATGTGGGCTGTTAGGAGGGTCCACAGCAGACCACAGCTGGAGCACAGTGCTGTCATTCCAAGGGGCTACGGGCCTGGGGGCCTCCCCGACACTGCCCACACAGGGTGCGGTACAAGGCCCAGGGGCAGGACTCACAGCACCCGGCCATCCAGCTTCCTGAGCACAACCACCCCAAAAGGGTCCTCGGAGAACTCCACGCTGTACAGTGGGGACAGCGCCCGGCTGCGTGCTTTCGGGGTTTCCAGGGGCACCTCGTAGCGCTTGTTGGCAGGATCTTTGATCTAGAAGAGACAGTGGTGTTCAAGGCCCTTGGGGGTTTCTGTCCTCTTCCCCCACTGTCGCTCGCTTTCCATAGGAATCATGGCTCATAGGAGGAGTTCAGGTCCCGGCAAGGCCAGGCACTGCGTGTGCACAGGTACCTGGTTCAACCTCTCTGGCCCTCACTCTCCTTGTGAGAAGGGAATCATGGGTTATCAGGTCAAATGCAGGACCCCCAGGAAACCCGAACTTGAGATGAACTGCTAATATTGTTTTAGATCTAAATATGGCGCAAACAACACATGGGACACCCTCACACTGAAACATAAAGTCCTCTGCAGGGCAGGGGATGGGGGAGCAGCAGGGAACACGGCAGATGGAAGTCGCTACAACGGCAGGTGGTCACTGGCTGGTGTCCCTCTGCTGGGACCAGGCCCGTGCTGACTCCTCCCTAGGGGAGGCCGAGATGTCACCCCCTGGAGGATGTGTGAGCCCATCTGTGTCCTGCACCCTGCCTTCTGGAGTACCAGTCACTGTTCCTAAGGGGCCACTCTGCTCACAAGCCAGCTCCCAGCACACAGTAGGGCCACAGGCACACCTGCAGGACTGTCCACATGTGCTCTCTGTCCTCCTGCCCTGCTGGCACAAGAGTCTGTCTGTGTGCCTCGACCACTGCCGGGTCCCACCCCTTCCCTGCCGCACCCACCGTGAAGTGGAGGCGGTCCTCTGTCTCCATCAACACGTCCAGCCGTAAGGTCAGAATGTCCTTGGGGAAGAAGGTGGGGGTAACCCGGGTCAGGGTGGCTGTGTAGCCCATTTCTGTGGAGCTGAGATTCTGTAGTCGGTAGCTTGGATAGCTGGGGGGGAAGAAACACCAGGGCTGCCCTGTCAGGTGGCCCCTTGGGCCCTGCGCTGCTGGGACATAGCAGCAGCCTCGGGCCTCACACTGCTCCTGGGTGACAGCCTTGTCGGGGGCGCAGTCAAAGCGGCTGTTAGGAGGGATGTTGCACTGTGCTGGTGCTGCTCCAGGCTGGCCAGGGTGTTCCCAGGTGTGCCAGGGCGCTGGCCCACCAGCTCCTGGCTGGTGATCTTGGGCAGTCTCTTCCAGCCCTTGGAGGAAGTCTTGCAGCTCTCGGGGGACCACTGGGAAGTCACAAAGCAGGATGTGCCCCAAGAGAGCAATGATGGCCAAAGAGATGAGTGTGCAGACTCCCACCAGCAGCCGGGAACGGAGTGGCCACAGCACAGCCATAGTGGAAGTCTGCCTGTCTGGGACAATGCAGCAGCTCCCGGAGGCCTGCTGAGAGAGGAGAACAGCTGAGCAGGGTCGGCCAGATGCCGCAGGTGGATTCCACCAAAGTGACTGGACCAGTGGCCAGCGGTGCCCAGGGGACAGAGAGGCCAGCCAGGGGTCCTCCTCCCAGGAATGGACAAGGAAAGCTACTGGCCAAGGCCAGACAGAGGAGCAGACAAAGGGTGCTGCCGACGTGGGTGCTACAGGGAACATGTACTGCAGACAGGGCGGTGTGAACTTGAGGTGTTACAGGGGACCCATGCTGCAGAAATGGGGTGCTGCAGAGATGGGGCGCCAGAGCATGGTGCAGAGTGACACATGAGGAAAGGCAAAGGGAAGAGACAGACATGTCCCAAAAAGGGGCCTGTGGGACAGCACTTGCTAAGTCTTCTAAAAAGTCACGAACAATATGCATTTAAAAAGTATGAGAGTGGTGGTATCATAGCTCAGCGGCAGGGTGAATGCACAGTATGCGTCGGGTCCTGGATTCAAGCTCTAGAACCACCAAAAACACTAAAAATAAAAAGTCCAGGAAGAGCAGGGCACTGTGGCTCCTGCTGTAATCCCAGCACTCAGGAGGCTGTGGCAGGAATCACTGCAAATTGGAGGCTAACCTGGGGGTACATAATGAGACCCTGTTTCAAAAAAGAAACAAAAAAATGGACAGGAAGAGCTCAGTGGGACAGGTGAGGTGAAGTGAGCAAGTCCAACAGTATGCGACACGAGCCCCACCACTCTAGGAAGAAGTGGCCCGGGAGGCTGAATGTCAGTGGAGAGAGGTCCGCAGAAGGCTGCCCTTGGGGCCCCGCCTCTTCGTTCCTTTCCTGCCTCAGAGCACAGGAAGAAATCTTGGGCACTGCCAAAGGCCACACCCTAGGGATGGCCACACTGCAAGGGCCTGACCCCTGATGGTTTTGCAGCCAGGAGCCGTAGGGACCTCCTGCAGTACATGGGGAGAGGCGTGCTTGGGGACACATTGCATCTGGAGCTGCACGGGAAAGACAGTGAGAACACAAGGCTAAGAGTCTGGCGGTGAGATGAAAAAGAGACTGCTTGGTTCTATCCGAAAACTGCATTTTCCAAACCCTGCACGAGGAACCTGGCCCAGCCCCTCCAGGAGTAGGAGGCACCAACAACACGGGATAAAAGTTTTCTACAGGAGTCTTTTTATCCCATTGAAAGAGAGTGGGGCTGGGCCAAGAAGGCTGGGAGAGCCAGGACCCCATGGGAAGGGGAAATAAGAGGTCAAGTCAGTGTCCCAGCAGTAAGGCCATGGTAGTGCCGCAGTGGCCATCAAGGTGGGGTCTTCCATGAGCAGCCCAGGAACAAAAGCAGGGATAGATTTCAGTGTGTGGCGACTGGGTCCCTCAACAGCATGGCTCTGTGACCTTCTTAACTGCTGGTAAACGTACACATTGGGGGAAAAGTCACACACCAGCAGGGGCAACACACAGGGCTGGCCATGTCATAGAAGGGCTGGCCAGCAGCAGTGCTCAGGGGACACCAAAGACCATTCGTGAACCGCAGCTCTCTGGGCTGAGTGTGAAGTTTTTCCCCCATAGCATCTGTAACATCAACTTGTGGGATGTTTTTCTTCCACCAACCAATTCTGCAGCTTTCCAGACACCAGCTGGCTGTCGCACAATCCGATTCAACTGTGACACTGACTACCAGAGTTAGCATGGACCCCGTGGTTAAAGGCTCGACCCCACAAGACCATGCCACACAAGCAGCCAGATGCAAGTCCCAGGGCTTCTGCAGTACTTCTGCTCAACTTGGGGTTCCCCTGACCCCTGTCCAGGCTCCATAATTCACTAGAACAGCTCACACTCAGTACTCTGGAAGGCACTTTACTTACATTTAATGTTTGTTTTTGTTTCCTTTTTAAAACAAATACAACTCAGGAACAGCCATGAGGTTGCGTGTAGGTGGGCAGAGCTTCACTTATTGCTCCTCTGGTTTTTTGGGGGAGGGTGGGTGGGAGGTCTATTAAGTAGGCATTGCTTAATTATTGGCCTTTGGTGATGGACTGGCGCTTTAGTCCTTTCTTGGTGGGCGAGTGAGCAGTCTAAACAAGTCTTGGATTTTCTTGTCCCTCTCCCAAGCTATCTAGTGGTCACCAGCTACCTCATTAGCACTCCAAAGACATCGCTCAGGAGTTTCCAAGGGTTTGGGGAGCTGTGTGCCAGGCAGTAAGCTCAGAGACCAAACAGTCGCTCTGTCCTATGCTACAGAGTCCGCTTCCTGCAGACACTAGTGGTACCTCACAGTTGATTCAGACTCTAGGGAACTCAAGACTCTGGGTACAGTGCAGGAGTTCACAGTCGGAGTCCCTCATCCCGGCAGGGTCTGCAACGTTCGGGGAGCAGGAAGGCGGCTCTGGGCACAGCCTCGCCAGAGCAGTGCGCTCCCCAAGGGGAAGAGCCCTGGAAATGGGGAGCGAATGGGGGACCCCAGTCCTGGGGGAAGGCTCTCAGTTTTGCTCAGCGCCCCGTTCAGAGATAAACGGGGAAAGCTTAAAACAGTCAAATCCGCGTTCTGGGGAGCGGCTGGACCCGCAGTCCTCCCCGGGGCAGGAGGTGTTCAAACGCCAGCTTTCTGGTTTCTCAGCCTCCAGGTGCCTCAGTTTCTCCCGTGAGACACAACACAAACAGAGCCTTCCTCGTGAGCACCGCGGAGATGGGCAAGAGTCCGGGTACTGCCTGCCGTCAGGTGCCCGAGGTCACTGTCCCCCGCCGTTCCGCTCAATCTCCCAATTAGGAAGCCGCAGAGAGCTGCACGCCGCCAGCCCAGCCCAGCCCAGCCCAGCCCAGTTCACCAGGGGCGGCCCGGGCCCGCCCAGGCCCCTCTGCCTGCTCCCGGTGCTGCCCGCCACTCACCCGTGTGCGACCCGCCGCTCTCCCGCGCCCCGCCGCTGCGCTGACCCCCGCAGGGCGCCTGCGGTCACGAGGCCGGAGGGCGTGGCCGGTCGCTGTGTCACGTGCACCCCCCACGTCGCGCAGGCGCCCGAGGGAGGCCCGCAGCCCCCAGCTGCGCCCTCTCGTGGTGGTGCGCGTCCCGCTGCGGCTGCAGTTCCTTGGGGACAGAGGTGGACGCTACACTTAGGGGCACAGCTCGGGTCGCATTACCGCGGGCAGTGGGACCCCGCTAAGCCCGCCAAGCCGGGGCGCGGGTTCCGCACCTGCAGCCCGGGGACACGTGGGAAAGGTTGAGTCTGCCCAGATCTGGGGGCACTTTACACTCCCTGCAGGGAGAGGAGGCCAGGCATCGTGACAGCCAGCGACTGTGACACGAGAATGTTTTCATCAATGCTCCATAAAGACAGCACACGACAGGCATGAGACGGAAAGCCTGGGCGCCCGCGGGAAGCTCAGGCTTTCTGCCTGCTTTGTAGTTCTGTACTGTGGTCATTTTAGAATAAGCCACGTTCAGGAAGAGGCATTTATTCTGCTCCAGAGTTTGACACTGAAGTTCTTTCGTGAAACATTTCATCTTTCAGCTTGGGAGAAGCCGTGGGGTAACTGCCTCCGGAAGAAGCCAGCGTGTGGGAGGAGAGAGAGGCTGGCAGGCGGGGAAAGGCCCCAGCTTGCTGAAGGCGGGTCACAACCTCCAGGAGCAGCGTACAGCACAGGCACAGTCCTCAGCTTCCTGGGGAGCCCTGAGGTCTTGCATTCTGGGCAAGTGGGGGCGGGGGAGAGGACATGGGGTGCCTGACAGTTGGCTGGGGCCCTCAGTGGTGTCCTTAGGAGAGTGCTGCGAATCAAGCAGCCTCCTGTGCCCACAAGAGGCACAGGGGAGGCACCACCCACTGCATTTTACTTGCAGAAGTCCTCAGTCTGTCCCCCCACCCCAGCGGAAGTGTGAAGGTTCGGATCTACGGATGGAAAGGTGACAGGCAGGCTCTACTTGGTTTAAACTGAGTGGCTGAGAAATAATTCCTCGGGGCCAGCCTGTTGATTTCCCATAAGTGGTGTCCTTCCAAGGGCACACAGACCCCAAGTCCCTGAGACCTCTTGGAATTCTGGTGGCCTTCTTCAGGGTCGGGTCCTGAAAGTGGCGGGGTTGGGGAGGATTTGGGTGTTTTCTAGGACGGCCCCAGGGACTCCAGCTTGCTGGTGATCTTCAAGCTGATGGGATGCAGGGCCTCCTGAAACTCGGGGTGCTCCTCTTGTATGTGGGCCAAGATTGTGCTCAGCAGAGCCAGCCGGCCCTCCAGGCGCTTGTGCTCCAGCATCATGGACTTCTGGGAGCGGAACAGGAACGTGTACTTCCCGTCCATCACAGCCTGCAGGTGCTTGAGGCGCGTCTGTAGGGCCACGATCTCTGAAAGGTTCTTGGGTGGGAGAGGAGAGGCACCCTGTGTCAGGCTGTGCAAATCAGAGGGGACACCGCCAGCCCCTCCCCCCAGCACACCTTGCAGAGGGACAGGAGGAGTCTCCAGATCCCAGGGAAGGCCAGAGTCCCATTGCCTGGGAGCCTTGTTCAGCCCTCCCAGAGAGACTTTTTTTTTGTACTGGAGATTGAAGTTTGTAATCTCAGTTACTATTATTCCCTTGTCTTTGGGATTCTCTTTCTTTCCTTTCTTTCTTTCTTTCTTTCTTTCTTTCTTTGTGTTACTGGGGATTGAACTCAGGACCTTTGCACTGAGCTACATCCCCAGTCCTTTTATTTTCAGGCTGGGTCTTGCTAAATTGCCCAGGCTAGGCTTAAATTTAAGATCCTCCTGCCTCAGCCTCCCAGAGCTCTGGGATTACAGGTATGCACCACCATGCCTGGCTGCAGGGAAACATTTTTGATGTTACTGTATGTCAAGACTGATGCTGGGCACATGTCCTTATCTCAGCTGACCAGGCCTAACCTGACCCCATCCCCTTACACTCATACACAGCGAGGCCTGTGGGAGTCCACCTGGGATGGGTCCTGAATTACATACATGCAGAGCGGTGGCCATGCCTGCCCAGGTCCACCACTCTCCTGAGGAGACCAGAGCTTCACGCAGCCTCCTGTGTGCACTCTGGGCCCTTAACCTCACTCCCCTGGAGCCAGGGCACCCTGTGGAACCCCAGGTCACCTGTGGCCCCCAACCCTCCACTCTCCCCGCCTCTGCTGTCTCCCTGCAACACCTGCAGCGAAAGCCAAAGTCAGGCCAATGCTCCTGCCGTGGATACTGCAGTCCTGCAGGGCCCTCGTTGTCCTCTGTCCTCTCTGCCTGAAGCCACTTCTCCCTTGCTTCCTTTGAGTCCCTCATCCTCTCAGCGCAGCCTTCCCTGGCCACCACACTCAAATTCCAATTCCCCATCCCACCCTGCATGGTTTCTCTGCTTTTTTTTTTTTTTTTTTTTTTTTTGGTATTAGGATTCGAACTCATGACCTTATACTTGCCAGGCAGGCGCTTACACCGCTGAGCTAATCCCTCGGCCCTACTCCGTTTATTTTCCTTCAAGGCATTTAATGCAGCTTGCCTTTCCCTTATCGAGTGTTACCCCCGCCCTCCTTCCCACAGAACCGTGACCCCTGCGAGGGTGGGGAGTTCCCGATTTATTTTTTCCGTAGTCCTAGCATTTGGATTGGTACCTAGGTCCTAACCGAGTGAAGGAATTACAAGGTTACAAAAATGTGAACACTAGAGGGCGCCGTCAATGGTCTGGGAGACTCGGACTTCTGGATGTGTCGCATCTGCCCACCCCGGAGCCTCAACGAGGGAACCCCTGGGACTCTTACCTGTCGCTTGAGGGCTGTGAGCCGCCTGATGTCGGCTTCCAGCTTGTCAGTGTCCACCTGCAACCCGGACAGCTTTTCCTGTTTTTCCAAGAGGGAGCTGTTCAGCAGTTTTTGAGCCTCTTCCAGGTCCGAGATGGTGTTGTTGCACTGCTCAGTGGCCTGGGAGATACACAAGACTTTCCCTGAGCCCCAGTCCTGGAGCAGACAGAGACAGACTGGGGGCCTGCAGGTGTCTTCTGGGCACGCACTGGACCCCCCTGCAGCGTCTCGGACCCATGGCGCCTCAGCAGGGGAAGGCAGGGAGGCCGCAGGTGCCAGCAAGGCAGTGGAGCTATTGAGAGTGGAGGATGCAGCAGCGATCGGCAGCTGATGCCGGGTCCAGAGGAAGATGAAGCTCTGCAGGCCAGGCAGGGACACAGAGCTTCGGGATGGGACCGGCAGGGTGAGGAAAAGGCCCCATTTGCGGACGCATGGGGCTCATGTCGGGAGTGGCCCACAGGGGCAGGAGGTTTTGGACACCGCCTGGTGGGGGAATGGGACAGGGAGTATGAGGGGTCCTGGTGGGGGACACAGGAGGCTCCACATGAGTGCCTGGGGGCCTCTGGGATCATGTTCTGTGATGTCCCCATGGCCACCACACTGGGCAGACAGGGATGCAGGCTCTAGTGGTGCCCACTGCACTCCCAGTAGGCCGGGAGTCACGCTCTCGCCCACACACTATGTTTCTGGGAGGCTACTTCCATTCCACAGAAAGCAAACCCTCCACTACCTCCAGCCCCAGGGGACCGATGCTAGGCCCCAAGACACACTTCCGGGGACAGTCCCAGGACGGTGCCAGGTAAGGGCTACTCGAGGCCCCTGCTGAGGGCAGGCAACAGTGAAGGCCACCACATGTCCACCAGGATCCAGCAGGATCCAGCATACTGGTCAGGCATCCCTTGACCCCTGGGGGTCACAGCCCAGAGGGTGCAGTGGCTTCTGTCACCCGGGCAGGACATCTTGGCTTGCCCAGTTCCACAGCTGGCCTCTCGCCCCTGCACTTTCACAGCTATGTCCCAGCAGCACAGACTGCATCCCACAGGAATGAGGAGCAGAGAAGACTCAGCCACGGGATGGGAGGAGCCAGAGTGTGACCCAGGTGACCAGGGGGAAGAAGGGTTCTCAGCCCCCCCCCCCGGGGGGGTATGGTGGTCACCCACAAAGGGAGAGCGACGCCAGGAGGAATGCTGCAATGCCCACTCCTAAGAGTGGATATGGAGCTGGGCCAGGAGCACTTTCTAGAATATTCCTGGGTCCTGGAGGTAGAAAAGGACTGTGTAAGTCCCATGTTTTCCCCGCTGCCGCTCACCTTGTGGGTTTCCTTGATTTTCCGCTGCAGCTCCATCTGCTGGTGGTGGAAGTCAGTCCGGGTGAGCACCTTCTTACTTATCTTGCTCTGCCCTTCAGCCTGGGTTATGATGGTCTCTCTGTGGGCCACCACCATCTCCATGTCCCGGATCATCTTCTCCTGCTGCTTCAGCAGCTGCCCGTGCTTGACCTGGGGGCACAGGACCGAGAGACCCGGCTGGTCCAGGACGCCAGCTGTGCTGGAAGCTGGGGCCTCACCTGCCACAGCTTGTCCCCTGCTGGTGCCACCTTCCACAGGACTGGCGAGGACATTGTGAGAGCCATGAACAGTCTGTGGGCAGCAGGCACTGGTAGGAATGAGTGCAAAAGAACTCGGGTAATAGCCAGGTGTGGTGGTGCACACCTGTAATCACAGCACTCTGGGAGGCTGAGGCAGGAGGATTGCAAGTCTGAGCCTTGCCTCAAATAAGAAGTGATAGGGATATAGGTCAGTGTGCAGGCTCTGGGTTCAGTTTCCTAGTACAACACAAAGTGAAACTAAACACCCTCAAGTGAGAGAGGGCTGCCAAGGAGAGGAAAGGGAGAGATGGGAACACTCCCTGTGACCTGGGTATATCCTGAGACAGAAAAAAGCCATCACAGACGGGACTGTGGAACCTGCTTAGATTCGGGAGTTTGGGCTTGGCTACTGCAGTCCACTTGACATACTCTTTCACCCTACTTTAGGTAATCTAGTCTATAGGGAGGGAAAAGCAAAGGACAAGGGAGGGTAAGCTTGTTCCTCCTCTGGGACAGGGACCCTAGGCTGGGCGTTATACCCTTCACCCGTCTCCATTTACCCTCTTTGGACTCAGGCTGAGTTACAGCACCAGCCTCCAGGGCAGGAGCAGACTCCCATCCCATGTGCAGTCTTGGGTCCTCCTGACAGGGACATGTTCAGAGAAATGCGACACATTATAAAATAGGACAACTTGCTTCAGCCATGTAATCCGAGGGAGCCACAGCTGCACCCCCCTCACTGCTGACCGCAGTGTCTGTTGGTGGCAGATGGCTCTATACGAGGGGTGATCAAAAATGATGGTTGTGTTGAAATTTTTTTTATGGGTACCGGGGATCGAACTCATGACTGCCTGCTTGCAAGGCAGGTGCTTATGCCGCTGAGCTAAATCCCCAGCCCCATGGTTAAATTTTTAAAAGTCTATCAGGGTAAAAGTCACATGGTCATGAATGTCCTTCAGAATACTCCCTCTTGCTTTGAACCCCCTTTATCACAGCATCCTTGCCCCATTCCAGTCTGGAGCAGGTCTGGAAGTCCTCTTTCGTGAATGTCTTTATTTGTGCTGCTGTGGTTGCCTTGTTTTGAATGAATTCAAAGTGGTGGCCTTTCATGGTCACTCTGACTTTGGGGAAGGACCAGGAGTTGCACCAGGCCCTAGAGTGGATTAGGGATGCCTGGTAATATCAAGCTTGTAACAAGCCTCTCTTTCTCGATCGTCCTTGGCAGCAACGTTCACTGTATTTTTGATCACACCTTGTACAGACACTCAGGAAAAAAGAGGTTCGGAACTGCTTCAGCAAGGATGGGGTAAATGTGTTTGAATTGAGGGGAGGATTTTGAAGGGTGATTAATGCAATGCGTCTTGTACTGTAAAATTTTAAAATGCAAACTTTAATGTATTTCTTATTGCCCACGTGCATGTCCTCATGGGTCTCTCTGGAGGACCCTCACTGCTCTGGAAAAGCCCATCCCAGCTATGAGAACCACCCACTGGGGCAGAAGCTGCCCAGAGATGGAAAGACCATGAAAATGGGTCCAGGATTGTACTAGGTATAGTGGGGACCCCTGGCCAGAACTGTGTCTCAGGCAGCAGCGAGACAGGTGAACCCCGCGAAGTCTCTCTACACGAGTGACAAGAAGACGGGGGCATTTTCTGAACGGTTATTGTACCAGGCGCCTTTTGTGTGATGCCTTGGATGAAGTCCAGTTTTTCATGAATGTTGTGTCCTTCGCCCTTTTTATTTAGGGACACGGTTTCTCCAAGTTGCCCAGACTGGGCTTGAAATTGGATCTTCCAGTTCCAGTCTCTTACGAGTGTGTGCCAACCACACCAGGCTTTCAAATGTCAGAGAAAGGAGCTCCAGAGCCACCCCTGTGCAGAGTCCTGTCCTTTCTCTGAGAAAGCCCATGGGAAGCACTGGCTTATGAATGGCGAGTGTGTTTTATACTTGGAAGTGGTGAATTATTTTATATAAGGTCATTTAAATATCTATTTAAAAATAGGAAACTGCTTCTATGTTTAATAATAAAGAAGCACACAAGCTGCCATAAAGGACATCCGAGTGCCTTGATTGCTTGCCTAAGGATTGAACAGTGTTTTATGAAATGGTATGTGTGTGACCCGTGACCAAGAGGCTTATGACACTGTCATTACTTCCATGTTGTAGGCACAGAGAGATACCCCGAGGTAAGGGCCAGGTCAGAGGGCACAGTGGCTGGGGCCTGTGCTTGCCTGGAGCGCAGGCTGTGTGGGGGCGGGGCTGTCCCCAGAACTCTCATCTGTTGCCCTCTGGTCAAGGTGGCCCAGGGAGCCTGGTCCCTGAGCCACAAGGGGCCCTTCCAGGCCCTGTCCACACTGCTGTCCCATGCTCACCTTCATCCTGTGGATTTCCGCCTTCATGGCGTGGATTTCCATCTGGCTGGCATCGGAATCCACCGAGGCACGCATCTCTTTTGCCAGCTGGATTTTTTTCTCCCAAAGCATGATCTGGTGTCTGCAGAGGGGACATAGGTAGTGCCAGAGGTGGGGGCGCCCACTGTCTCCCAGGGCCTCCCCAACCCTGAGCCGAGCGGCAGAGACTGAGAAGCTCATGATGCTGAAAGTTTACTCTGTGACTCCTTGCAAGGAAGCTTTGTCGGTGCTTCAAGCACGGGGACCTCGGGCATGCAGGGAGGGAGGTGAGGAAGAGGAGGAGGAGGAAGGAAAAGAGGAGAAGGAAAAGAGATGGACAGGGTTGAGAGAAAGATTGAGAAATGAGGAAACATGGATATATAACTTCAGGACCTGGGAGAGTAAACACAGTGATGGAAATGGACTTAGAAGTAAAAGCCTGCATAGATCTATGGCCTAAGGCTAGGAGGTGTGATAAAACGATGTGAATTTAAATTTTAAAAAACTTTACTACAGTAAGCCACATCTCTTATAATCCTCCTCAAAACCCTGGTGCTTACTCTGAACACACTGATCCCATGCGCTTGCCGCTTTCTGAAGCGGGTTCTGGAAACCCTCTTTTGTGTGTCTTCGGTGGTGCTGTGGCTGCCTTGATGTCCTCTGAGTTAAAGATGTTTACCTTTCGGGGTCATTTTGGTCCAGAAAGAGAGCCAGAGACACAGGATGGCATACCCAGCAAATCAGCGGGGAGGAATACGCCGTGGTGTTTTTGTGAGCCTGCCTTCCTGGGGACGGCACTTAGCAGGGGCACCTGCTGTCACCGTGGTTCTGATCACAGCTTGTAAAGACACTCAGGAAGAGGACTTCCAGAACTGCTTCCAAAAGTGGCAAGGAAGATGGGGTAAGTGTATCTTAAGTGAGGGGGGTCACGGCAGTGTGTCATTTACTGTAATAAAACTTAAAAATGTAAACATTAATTGTATATTTTGTTCACTCCTTTGTTAAAATGTCACCAAGGACACATACCCCAAAAGCATTGGTCCCAGATGGTGCCAGACATGGAATGGCCTGTCCAGCTACGGGAAGGGACAATCCCTCTGGGATCCACGCCCTCCGAACGTGTTGTACACATTGAAGTGCAACACAAGGGGTGGACCTAGCAGCCATCCCAACTGGACTACAGGTCCTCATGTGTTTTCATGGGAACACAGCTACAAACCTATAAAAACTGCTTCAAAGGAGACTTTTTGCTAAAAACAAAGCAAGAAGGAAATATACCTACACAGGGTCTTTCTAGGAAAGGAAGAAAATTGGAGTCACGTTTTCCTCTTTCTCCTTTGCACCCTATTATGGTTTAAGATGTTTAGGGTTGGGTATTTGATAATCAGGCATCATAAAATAGTACTATTTTTAAAAGTTTATGTCAAAGAAAGCCACTCAATTTCCAGTGGTAAGTGGTCTGGCTGGAGCCCTGGCTGCCACCAAGAGTGGTAGACCAGAAATCTGTGGTGACTTTCCGTGGTTCTTCTGGGATCTTTGAAGGCAGGCTCAGAGCCACCCTTAGTGGCCCTAGTGAATGGTGGCCACACCCATGGATGCACTGCTGGGATGGTGACATTTGGAGGGGACTCAGGGCAGTGCCTAGGACTCACTCTGCCTCCACCAGGCCGTTCAGGAGGGTGGCCTTCTCTTCGCAGAGCTGGTTCAGCTTATCCTGCATCTCAATGGTCTCCCTCTCTGCAGCCTGCAGGGGAGAGCAGGAGAACTGGGGGCCATAGGCACTGGGCTGTGGCACCCAAGCCCCATAAGACATGGAGGAGCTGCAACCCGAATCAAGGACATGTGTGGCCAAGGGGACCCAGGCTGGGCAGGCAAGGTGGGCTGACCTTGAGCTCACGAACGAACTCTGTTTCAGTCACCATGTTGCTGTGCTGCAGCTCCTCCGAGCTGCACCGGTTTTTGCTCAGCAGCACATTGAGCTTCTTCAGGTCGTGGTCCAGGTCCTTCATGTGCTGGTCAATCTCCTTCTGCTCTCTCCTCTCCTGCTCTATCTTCCCTGTGCAGAGAACAGGGGTAGGGGCCTTGCTAAGGCGGCAGAAACACCTCAGAAGGGTCAGGGCTGGCTTCTCCCTTTCCCCTCTGGTCCTTCTTGTGGCCCCTACCTGAATCACAGCCTTGCTGGGCTGGGGGTCAGGGTGGGGATCTCTTCCTGGTGCTACTCTCCCAAAGCCTGGTCCTTTAAGAGAACCTCAAGGACCCCAGGCCAAGGCCCACTGGGTGTGGGAGAGAGAGCTCGAGGCAGGAGATCTGGCCTCCTCCTTGAGGTGGGGACATGGGCATCACTCAGACACCTCCTGTGGAGGACACCTGGATGACTTGAACAAAAAGCAATTATCTCCACTGTGGCTAAACCTGGCCGTGTCTCCGTGTACTGATATGTGCAGAGCTGGCTGAGTCATTTCCTTCTCCCTTCAGCTGGCTCTAAGCAATTTAAACAGGCAGAGTTGCTGATGTGGAATCTTTGAAGCTAAGTGATGACAGCCACTGTTTCCACACCCTGTGACTCCCAAAACATGGCTGAGCTAGGCGAGATGACAGAGACACTGCTTCAGGGATTGACCCTGGAGATCAGGGGCTGTGACTCCCAGGGCAGAAAAGTTTGCACATCAGAACTGAAGCACTGCCCCCTAAACATTAAATGCCACCTCAGTTGTGTCACGCAGATCGGTCTTTCTGCACACCCTTCTCTCTGCACACTGTAGAGGTGCTCTCAGGCCTCCTGGCCAGCCTAGTTTATAACACTCACGCATTGCCCACCACTCTCACAGTTGCTCACCCTCCAGTCACTCCTTGCTTCATGAATTAATAAAATCCGAGTTGGGCCCTGGGCTGAGGCCTTTGTTCCACCGAACCACTATCTAGGCTGGGCTTACAACCTCTTGGCTCCTCATAACTATAACTATGTCTCACTGTCTTTATTCTTGCCATGAGTTGCACTGGAAGTGACAGGCAGGAGTGAACTCACTGGAATTCCAATGTCTTTTCTATGGGATTACAAATATAAACTTCCTGGATTGCGACGAGGTCCGGGAAGGGCTCTCTATAACTGGCATGTCTGGGAAAGGCAGACCCTGACCCCAGCCCAGGCCAGCAGCCAAGATCCAGGCAGTGTGCAACATGACAGGTATTCTTGATATCAAGCAGGGAAAAGGACACAATTATATGTCTGGAGTCTGTCCAGCTCCAGGGTTCTCTGCCTTCCCCAGCACCTTCCCACCATGAAGACCCTTGGCCACCCCTGCACTCGGTCCCCCATACGCTCCTCTGCTGTCCTCACCCTGACTGAGCTCACCCGACATCCACACTCAGTACTTTAGCCAGTGCTGCCTTCCTATGACTGTGCTGCACCAACAGTCATGGGCGTCTCGTGTCCTTATGCTCTCCAATGAGCTAGCCAGGGGACCTCAAGCGCAAGGCAGGAGGGCACTCGGGCCTCTGAGAAGTGGCCAGGCAGGGCAGACCTGCCTGGATCTCTGACCCAGGACATATCAGCAGCTGGGTTCGGTAGGCGGTAGCCAAGGAAGGCCATGCCCTCCTCCTTGAACCCTGGCCCTTGGGTAGACTGGGGTGAAGGGGTAGGTGAGGTGATGCCCTGGGGACCAGCCACTTTTCTGAGCCAGATGTAGCCTGGCCTGAGCTGGGGGACGGCCAGTGAGTTCCACGGCCTTCACATTAGTACTTCCCTTTCCCCTAAGCATCCGTTTGTCAAGGCACCAGTGCCATCCTCCTCTCTCTAGGGAGCCCAGGGTCCATGAACTCTGACAGGTTCAGTCCATGTTGTCCCCTTCACTAGTGCTGCAAAGCCAGTGGCTGGACAAGGGTGACGTTCAGGAAGCAAATGACCCAAGCGTTTCTGCTGCCCACTTTGTTTGTTTTTTGTACCAAGGATTGAACTCAGGACCTCGCCCTTGACGGGCAGGCACTTGTGCCACTGATCTAAATCCCCAGCCCTTGTTGCTCACTTTTAAGGCTGCATGGAAACCCAGCACTGGATCCATCTTGCAGGCCTCTCCCCCAAAGGACACCCCACTTGCTGCAGGAGGCAGTGTGGATCTGAGGGCACAGAGCATGGCTTACTCTCCATGCGGAGCTTCTTCTGCTCCAAGACGTGGACCTCCTTCTTGAGCTCGTCCAGGGACACCAGCTGCTCCTCACGGTCCTGCGTGACCTTGACCAGCTCCTGCTGTAGGCGGAGCCAGGTCACTTGGGCCTGAGTCACCTTGGCGCTGTGCTCCTCGGTCACCTTGGTCAGCCTTTTGATCTCTAGCTCCAGGGGTCCTACTTCTTCTCCCTAGGAGGGATGTTAGCCAGAAAGCAGAGTGAGCCTCAAGGTTCAGCGGTCTCCTTTTGAGTGACTGCAGAGACCAAGGCATTTACTCTGAGTGGCTCTGCCACCTCAGGAAGGCCAGGAGACTCTGTTGGTTCCCTGGTCTGAGGCCCCACAAGTGAGGCCTCTGCCTCCCCTATTAGAATGCTGGCCATTAGCAGGCCTTCAAGGCTCAGGCACTTTGCTCCCTGAGAAGCCACTGGGTTGCATGGCTTTGGAGTCAAAGTGGACTGTCCAGTGTAGGGGCCTATGTGAGCTCTCACTTTGCTGCCTTCCATGAGCCCATGGTGTCCTTAAGTTACAGATACCTGTGTATGCCCAGGACAATGAGCCTCATGAGATTTAGTAGAACAATTTCCTTAGCTCAGGGAAGTGGGTGAGACCCAGCCCACTGCTGTCTGTCGCTTTGGCCCACAAGCCATTAACAAAATCAAAAGCAGAAGACTGCTCAGGGCCAGGTGAGAAGCTCCCTTCCCGCTGCAAAGTCTGTGTAAGATGTCAAGCCCACGGTGCCCATGACCATTCGTGTCCAGCCTGAGTGGGGGAACCTCTGCCTGGAGTGTTTGCACGCTTGCAAACAGGAAGGGGAAGGAGGCTGGCTGTGTTGCATGTGCACAACATAACAATCCTAAAAGGGGCTCTGCTCTCACCAGGCACGGGGTGAGCCTAGTCGCCTCCCCCGCCACAGGCCTCACCCCCAGCTCAGAGACCATTTGCTCCAGCTGCTTGTTGAGGAAGTTGATGAGGCCCTGCTTCCTCTCGATCAGGATGGTGCGTCGCGAGATCTCGTTCTCACTGTTGGTGATGAGGTCGTTGACTTTCTTCACCTCCTGGTCCAGCTCTGCCAGGGTCTTCTGATGCATGTCCAGCCTGCAGCTGATGTTGGTAATGTCCAGGGTGGTCTGCGCAATGTCCCCATCAATTTTGGAAAGATGTGTCACCTGAGGTAGAAAGAGGGGAGGGGAGGAGGCCAACGTTCTTCCCTGGGTGGACCCAGGTCAGCCTGCTGTCGCACTTCCTCACCCCTCTGGGTGTTCCTGGAGAGAAATTCCTAAGGAACCCTGAGCAAGAAGGTTCACACCCATGCTGCTCCTGGGATCCTGGCCTGTGGGCTGGATCCTGGATGGTGACTGCTGGTTTTTCTTGTTAAAAAGATAAAGCCTTTCTTGTGGATATGATCCCAACACTTAGAAAACCCTAAAAACAATCAAAAGATGGCCAGAGCTTCTAAATGAATTCAGCAGTGTAACAGGATATGAAATTAGCATTAAAAATCAGTAGCTGTACTCAACACCAATAATGAACTAGGTGATAAAGAATTTGGAAAAACAATTCCATTCACAGTAGCTTCAAATAGAATAAAACACCGAGGACTCAGTCTAACTAAGGGTGAAAATTACAGAACACTGAAGAAAGAAATTGAGGAAAGCACCAGAGGGTGGAAAGAACTCCTGTGTTCATGGAGAGCGGAGGAACAGACAAAGGGGAAAACAGTGCTGAGGGTAGAGCTGAAGAAAAGGAAGACGGAGGTGAGAAGAGGAAGAAAAATAAGAATGAGGCGCTGGGGATTTAGCTCAGCGGCATAAGCATCTGCCTTGCAAGTGCGTGGTCGTGAGTTTGATCCCTGGTACCGGTAAAAAAAAAAAAGGATGATATCAAAACAAGTGAATAAATAAAAGGAAAAAAAATAACAACAACAAATAGTTAATCCTACACATATCCTAATCCTACTCGGTAGGGTTAACTATTTGTTGTTGTTGTTAGTCTTTGTCTGTTTCTCCCTTCTGCTCTTTTGCGGTATTCTACTCCCCTGCAGTGTTTCCTGTCTTCTCTTACAAGCCTTCTGTGCTCCGAGCCCCATGCTTCTTGCTGTTGTTTGTTTTGGCTACCCCTTGCCTTCTCCTGCCCCTTCTTTACCTTTTATCTTATTTATCCATAGGTTCTGAAAACCGGAAGCTTTCCTCAGTCCCAGATTACACCTGCCTCCCCTATGTCGTCTCACCCTGTCCTACAGATAGTTTCTTAAAGCCCTGGATACTAATCCTTTACTCCAACTCTAAAAGGCATCCAACAGAGAGAGGCTGACCCCTGTCTGATTTTCTAAATCTCTTTTTCCTATCCGCCTCCCCTTCCCCCAGCTCACATGCTGCTTCCCCACACCTGTACCTCCTCCCTTCCTCTCCCCTCCCACACTGCGGACCACTGCCAGCAACAATATACACAGGTTGTGAAGGGTACTGATGAAAGGTGGGCGTGTCACTGCATGTGTTTTTGGATCTGCTGATGCTGCTGTCCCAGTAGTAACTCTCTCCTCACAGCATAGTGAGAGAGTCCAACCTTTTAAATTAAGCAGCTTAAGAGGTGAGCACTGTCTTTGATAAACATACCCAGGAACACATCACTGGAAGGCAGGATATAACTAAGAAGATCTTCCTTTCAGTGACAGCCTCTCCTCACTTTCCTTGACCTCAGTTTCTAGCCCACGCGCGCGCGCGCACGCGCGCGCACACACACACACACACACACACACACACACACACACACACACACACGGGAAAACAAGGCAACAGAAGGCCTCTAAGTTCTCCCAACCCTCCCAAGTCAGATCCAGTGGGTAATTAAAGGACAGGTAAAGAAACTCAGCAAGTCTGAAGAGGACAAGCCCCTCAATCTCATGGAACTATCCTGCAAACTGACCAATGTGGATATTGAAGAAACAAATAAAAATGAAAAGAAATAGTTCAAACTACGAACAACAAGTTTACCAAAGATACACACTCCACAAAAAGGTGTCAGGCAGAAATACCGGAAATAAAAAACTGTACAGAATTCTTAAATTGTGGAAATGACCAATATGAAGAAAGGGTTTCTGAAATCAAGAACAAAATGATAAACTATGATGAAATATTCAGAGAAACTTTAACAATGACTAGAGAACAAGAAAAGTCATCCAGTAGGTACCAGACCACGGTGAAAAGAGCAACCTCAGGCTCACTGGGGTAAAGAGAAGCTGGGGGGCAGCACACATAGAATAAAAACTCGTTTACAGAAAACATTCCGGGTATGGCTTGCAGACAACAACTAATGACACACCTTAGTCAAGCTCCTAGACGTCCCACAGAAAGACAGAATCTTAAAAGCTGCCAGAGAAAACCCATGCATCCCATATAAAAGACACCATTAGGAATACAGAAGACTTCTCAACACAGACTTTAAAGGCTAAGAGAGCATGGAGCAAAGTATTTCAAGCCCTAAAAGCAAACAACTTCCAACCCAGATTAATATATCTTGCAAAAGTGCAAGCCATGACAGGACCAGGAAGACAAAAGTCAGTGGATAGTACTTCCTGGGAACTGGACATGCTGGCACTGGGAGCACCCACCATAAATAAACCAGCCAGTCTTTCTGGTAAGCTGTGCAGGCCATGCGGGGCCCAGGAAGAGACATCAGTGTCTCCCAGGAGCCTACCAGTGTATAGGCTGAGAATCAAGAACAGCCCCCTCCCTCCACATAAGCAACTGGTTGTTTCAGAGGACAGGCTGAGTTGATAGCCACTGAGGTACAAAAAGCAATTGACTGCTTGTATTGTTTGGTTGACTTTTCAGGCCTGGGGCTGGCAGACTGAGCATCTATTGGAAGGATAACAGATTGAAATATAACAAATATGGAGGACTTCCTTCTATCTTGTTTTTGAAATCCAATATTGTTCTGTTTTCTTCCGATTAATTGTTTTGCTTTATTCAATGTTCTGTTTTTGATTGGTTTGATTTTGCTGTATCTGATGGAATAGACAACGATTGTGAAGCTAACAAGATCTACTATGGTAACCATTATTGTTTTCCTATTATCCTACTTCAAAGTTCTGTACCAATTTCAGTTCTGTACCAATGCTTTGTTTTGATTGACTTTAGTCTGGTTTTTTTTTTTTGGGGGGGGGGTAGTATCTTTAAAATTAAAAATGTATCCTGCAAAACTTTCAAAATAGATTAAAAAGGATATTCCATGAAAAAGAACAACTCAAGAGACACATGGATATCAAATCAACACTCCAAAAAAATAGGAAAATCCCAGACAGTGACAATGAAGTCAACAAAGTCAAAAATTCAGATGGAATGTATAGCTCAAGCAAGGCAAATGGATAAAGAAGAAAGAAAGAATAATTTAGAAAGTCATCGACAGAAAGACAGGAATAAATCATAGTTTTCAGTAATACCTCTCAATGTTAATGGCCTCATCCCCCCAATTAAAAGACTCAGATTGGCAGACCAGATCAAAGAACAGAACCAGGTAGACTACTGCACTCAAGAAACTCATTTAATCCAAAAAGAGATTCATGAACTAAAAATCAAATGATGGATGGAAAACAATTGGTTTTACTCTCAGACAGAGTAAACTTCAACTAAAAGTGATCAGAAGAGGTAAAGAAGGTCACTACATACTAGCCAAAAGAACAATCCAACAAGATGAGATAACACTTGTAAATATGTATGCACCAAATACTGGATCACCTAACTTCATAAAACAAACACTGCTAGACATAACGGATAAACATAAAACACACTTATAGTGAGTGACCTCAATACCCCACAAAAAGACATAAACTAAACAAGAAATCAAAAAAGAAGTGTTAGAAACTGAACTACACCTCCAAACAATGGCCTTAATAGCTATATAGAAAGTGTTCTAATCCAGTACAACAGAATATACATTCTTCTCAGGAGAACACAGAACTTTCTCCAAAATAGCTCATATGCTAGTCACCAACCTGCTTTAAAAAGTACAAGAGAACTTAAATCTCCCCATTAGACCACTGAGCTTTGAAACTAGAAATCAATCACAAAAGAAATCATAGAAAATTTACAAAGTCCTGGGAGAGTTAAAGACATCATACAGCAATACGTGCATACCAATGTTTATAGCAGCACAATTCATAGTAGCTAAGTCTTGGAGGCAGCCTGCATAAAAGGAAGCACACATACACAATGGAAAAACACTCAGCTATAAAACAGAGTAAACTTGAGATATTTGTAGAAATATGATGCACCTAAAAACATGATGTTAGTGAAATAAATCAGGAGCTAAAATACTTCATGGTTTCTCTCATTTGAGTAATCCCAAGTGAGAAGTAAGGAGCAAAATGCTATAAGGGAGCAGGGAGATAGGCCTTATGCAAATGGAAAGGAGACCAAGAGACCAAAGGTGGAGAATGGGAGAGAGGAGGGGAACGTAACATATGTGTGTCGTGTCCGGGTACCGACTGCCCACAGGGAACATAATTACTGTATGTCACAAACATGAACTAAGTAACTACAACAGCAACAACAACGATGATGAAAATGGGAAAGGGGACCTATAGCAGAGGGAGAAGGGTGCTGAGGGGAAGGGAAAGGGAAATAAACAGAATCAATATATGTTAAGTACAGGCACCTCACTCCCTAAGGTGAGTATAAACATCACATATAGCAAACAAGTACTAAGAAAAACTTTTCAGATAATTTAAAAAACCATGATATTCTTCACAGAACCAGAAACAACAATCATAAAAGTCATATGGAAACACAAAAGCTCCAAAATAGCCAAAGCAAACCTGAATAAGAGAGGAAGGCTAAAGAACCATCATACCAGATTTCCAACTATGCCACAAAGCCATAGTACTGAAAACAGTATGGTAGTGGCATTAAAAATACACATCTAGGCCAACGGGACAGAAGAGAGGTCATGGTTTCCACACAACTAGGGCTGTCTAATTCTTGGCAGAGGAGCCAAAACTGTGGTGAAAAAAGACAGAAAATGGTGTTGGGAAAGTGGCACCAATGGTAGGAGACTAAAACTAGATCCCTTTCTCATATCTTGCATAAAAATCAATTGAGAACTGGTTAAAGATCTCAGTAGGTGACCTGGAACTTTGAAAATGCTAAAGAAAACCGAGCAAACACTTGAAGCTGAGGGCAGAGGCAGAAGCTTCCTGGAGACAGCTCCAACAGCAGAGGAAATAACAGGAAGAATTGGCAAATGAGACCACATCAAATTACCATGAAGCATTTCTGCACAGCAAGGCAAACGTCTAACAGAGTGAGGGGACAAGTGACAGAAGAAAGTCTTTGCTTTTCTTTAAACACTTTTTTTTTTTTTGGTACTGGAGGTCAAACTCACAACCTCGCGCTTGCCAGGCAGATGCTGCACTGCTGGCCTAAATCCCTGGTGCCGGTGACTTTTCTGACAGAGAATTAATATCTAGAATACATAAAGACCTCAAAAACTTGACACCCAAAATCAAACAACCCAATCAATAAATGGACAAGTGAATTGAAAAGACTATTTTCAAAAGAATAAGTACAAATGGACAATAACTATATGAAAAAGTGTTCAACGTTTTCAGCCATCAGGGGAATGCAAATCAAAACTGTCCTGAGATTCCATCTCACTGCAGTCTCAATGGCTATACCCAAGAACGCACATCCTGCTGGCAAGAATGTGGGGAACAGGGACCCTCTTACACTTGCTGGGGGAATATAAACTAGTACAGCTAGCATGAAAACCAGTGCAGAGATTCCTCCAAGACCTAAAAATATAGCTATCGTATGACCCAGTTAGCCTAATCCTTGGCACACACCGAAAGCAACAAAAGCCAGCCTGCTGCAGAGCCACCGCGTACCCACGTGCACTGTGGTGCCATTCACAATAGCCGAGACACGGAAACAGCCTAGGTGCTCAGCTATAGATGCTCGGATCAAGAAAACATGACACTCAGTGTACGCATAGTGTGCAGCCACACAATAGAGAACAAAATTCCATCATCTGCAGGAAAATGAATGGATCTAGAGACCACGACACTGCAGAGAAGCCAAACTCAGAAAGACAAACATCCCATGTTCTCCTAAAAATGTGGCATCTGATACAGAGGACAAGAAAGTAGAAGGGAGATTTTTTTATTAGCTAAGAAGAAGAAGGGGGATGGGAAGGGAGTGTCAGGGTGGGTTATGGGGGGACACATATGATCAGAAGGCATCATTACCATCCAGACTGCCCCTCTACACACACACAAAACCCCCTGAAATGCAGCAGAGGGCAGGGCAAGAGAGCTGGAGGGTAAAGATGGTCAATGTGTGTTATGTACATGTGTGAATCTGCCAAGATAAAGCTCTTTAACCTGCATCACCAACAAAAAAAAAGTGAAGAAAAGACAGCAGCATACACTGTGGGTTAGGGTCTGGGGCTGTGACCTTTGATAAGCCATGCCTTAGGTTCTGTGCTGTATAATTTCTAAGGGCTGTACCCTGTCTGCTGGGTCTCTAACACAGTACACAAAGCCACCGTAGTCGTTAGGTGTTCACTCCTGTTTTCAGTGGCTCTTCACAGGCTACTGGCTGATGCTGCAGGCCGCTGGCCATGTAGGTAAACAGAACAAGACCCCAGCCTCAGGGGGTCTGTCATCTGTAATAAACATTCCCTGCCTACCTAGTCTTGGAAAGCTGGATACAGTCCTGGACAGAAGAGAACCCCTGTGGGGTGGAAATCCAGTGCCAGGACTGGGAGCCTCGGCTTGGCCACCCTGGCTCGTCCTGTCTCCTCTGGGGGCTCTGCTGGGGGCAGAAGACGGGTTCGCCCTGTGCCCTTCTTGCTGGTGGGGTTTGCTGAGAGGGCATGCCCCCCCTTCACAGTGGGGACCTGGGGAGGCTCTAGGTTGGGTAGGGGCTGCTGGCTGCCGTGGAGTCCTCTTCCGTAGGGCATGGCTCTGTAGGTGGCTGCAGCTGTTTGCTGCCCACTGTGCCCGGCTGTCCCCCTCCTCCAAACCAGGGCTTCTGACACCCTGGCCTCCAGGGAGCCACCTCAGCTTATCCTCCATGACACCTGCCAGCCTTGTGCCTGACACTCACACTCAGACTGCTGGCAAAGCTCGGACACTATGTGGAGTCAAGGCTCCCTCTACCCCAGGAGCACTGTCTACCCCTCCGATCCCTGCAGGCCAACTGGCTGCCCAGTCCATGCTTTGCCAAGATCACCCTCACACCAGGGTTCCTGCAAGAACAAACTGCCTGCTCTCCCCACGCTCAGCCCCCTTAGGGGCTCCCCTCCCTGGTGCCTGTCTTCCTCTGACTCAGCCAGAACACACTGCCTCCCAAAGGCCAGCCACGCCACCCCTGACCTAGCTGCCTGGTCCCTGAATCTACCCCCATTTACCCTACTCTGGGCCCCAGCTCCAGGTGTGTGATTCCATTGCCCACCCTCTGCTCCTCTTCCCAAATTGTGCCTGCTCTCTCCCCAACACAGAGCTGCTGCGCATTCAGACAGTGTCTTTTTTTTTGGTACCAAGGATCGAACTCCCCGGCCCCAGACAGTATCTTTTAAGAGCTTTGCTCACACTTGTTGGAAAACCACGGCAATAGACAAATTTGCTGGTCTAAGTCTCCTCATTGTCCTCTGCCGGACAGAGCTGGTAATACAAGCCTGACCTGCATGGCTGCCCAGAAAGGAGCTAGGCAGGGAACTACAGGCCCTGGCATTAGGCCTGGGTTGTGCTGCCAGAAGTCCAGGCAAGCTCCTTGGCCTCCTTCAAAGCACCTGGGACCATCTGCTTTGCTGCCTGCTGGTCTTTTCCCCTGCCCCCTCCCATGGAAATGACAGCTGGGACCTCTATGAGTTCAGAGGAACCACTTCCAGCTCTGTGCCCCTCGGTTCCTCGATGTGAGGCAGCACCCTCTGGGAGGCCAGGTGGGCTCACCAGTCAAGCCAACTCCAGAGCAGCAGGCACCAGGAGGTGGTGGCATTTAGGGAGCCCTGCCTCAGCCCCTCCTCCCAGACATCTGTTCCTCTTCACAGACAGCAGCTGTGACCCTCTGACACCTGCCAGGTATGTTCTAACCGGTGTGACAGCTGAAACCAGGCTGCAGTCAGAAGGAGGAATCTTCTGGTACAGCTGACCAAGCATGGACCTATGTCCCTGTGGCTGTGCTAACATACACAACCATGGGGGCCTGAGGAGGGTCACTCAAGATCTAACCCACCTCCTGAGACCGATGTACAGCTGAGCATGGTAGTGTGCACCTACAATCTGAACTCTGAGGCTGAGGCAGGACGATCCAAAGTTGGAGCCCAGCCCGAGTCATTTAACAACGTAGCAAATAAATAAACAAATAAATAACTAAGTGCTGGGATACAGCTCAGTGTAAAGGGCCTGGGTTGAATTTCCAGAACCACAAAACAAAACACCTAAAGAGAGAAAAATCCAGTGACTCCCACACTCATTGCTTGGGTACTTTTCTCTCTGTAAAACTTTTAAAAATGGATTCCAATGGATCCATAAACAGGTGTGTAAATGAGAGTCTGATGTTGTCTGAGGTGTGCAGTGTGTGGCTCCAGGGGTTTGAGTGTGTATGTGCTTGCATGTATGAGTGCATGTTTGCATCTGTATTTGCTCATATGTGCAAATGGGCAAAGATGTACATGCATGTGTGCTTGGACACACGTATGTCTACATGTGTGAGAAGTGTACATTACTGTGTGCAGTTGAACGATGCCCGGAAGGAGACAAAGATGGCCACATGTTAGAGGGGACTGTCCTGCCTTGCACTCTTCCTACCCCTTTGCACTGCCGGAGACTCCGTGGGTGTCAGTGGACAGCCTCTGCTTGCTGAGCTCACTTGGCTTTGGAAGTACATGCTCATTGGTAGGTCATCTTTTTTTTTTTTGGTACTGGGAATCGAACTCAGGACCTTGCACTGGCCAGGCAGGTGCTTCTACTGCTGAGCTATAACCCCAGCCCTGGAAGGACATCTTTTGCCCATCATATGCCCATCCCCCAGCAGAGGCCAGCCTACCATGTTGGTCTTCTCCTTCTGGAGCTTCAGGAGGAGCTTGTGGAAGTACTTGGTCATCTTGTTGGAGGTTGTGTGCTCCTGCAGCTTGCTAATGGTGGAGGCTTCCAGCTTGTGCCGCAGGTCCTGCTCAGAGTGGACAGCCTGGCGGACCATCTGCAATTCACTCGTGACCATTGCGTGCTCCTGTGGAGGAAGAGCCATGGGTAGGATGTTCCCTTGGGGCCCCCCGAGGGCCAGCTGCCAGCCTAGGCCTGGGGATGGGAGCGGTAACGCACGTGGAGCCCCTTGTTCAGGTTGTCTTCCGTGTTCTGCAAGGTGAGCTGATAGGTGTTGAACTCCTCCTGCAAGGCCTCCCGCTTGGCCAGGCACTGTGTGGTCAGTTTCTGCATTAGGCTGGCTTCTGTCTCGGTCCGGTTCAGGATGCTGGCCAGCTTCTCGTTCTTCTCTTCCTCCTTTAGGATGGACTTCTTATAGGCCTCTATCTCACCATCGATGGACTTGGCTTGGTGCTCACATTCCCTGCGGGGACAGGGATGGCAAAGCTAGTCATGGGCTAGACCCCGGAGGCCCCAGAAGACAGCAGGACCCCACTCAGAGGCAGCTTCTTGTTGTTGCTTATGCTTAGATGTCCCCCCAAAGCCTCAGCACTCATGGGTGGGGCTTCAGGGAGCTGACTGGGTCATGGGGAGGTGGATGGATCCACTGATGAGTTTGTATTGCAGTGTGATTTTGAGAGGTAAGTGTGGTGGAGGGGGTAGGGCACAGGGGCACGGCCTGGCAGGGTCTGTCTCTCTCCTTCTTCCCTAATCTCTCCTTGATTCACATCTGCCACACCGTGAGAACCCTCGTCTGCAGACCCCTCTGCCAGGCTGCCCTGCCTTGGAGCAAGCCAACCATGGACTGACACCTCCACAAACTGTGAGCTGAAATAAACTTCCCCCCTTTAATTTGTGGGTGTTGGGTATTGTGTCTCAGTGATGAGGAAATAAACAAGACACTCATTAGGTGGACTTGACACACAAGTAAATTAGGAAACCAACTCAGTGGTAGCCCAGGCTTTGTGTGTGTGTGTGTGTGTGTGTGTGTGTGTGTGTGTGTGCCAGGAACTGAACTCAAGCCCTCACCTTTGACACTGAGTCATATCCCCAGGTCTAGTGGCCTAATCCTGATGGTTGTTTTTGAATGTGTCAACAGAACCATTACCCACTGAAAGCCCATTTAAAACTCTTTGACGCCATGATTATGAGGAGCGGGGAAAGTAACAAGAAGGTCAGGGGTACCCTGGGGGTTTGAGCTGCACACCTTCCTTAATCCCAGACAGCAAAACCATCTGAGTCCCACGGGGGAGGACCCTGAAGCTAAGGACTTTTAAAAGACTGGCCACAGGTGGGGACATCAGATGGGACTCACTGTAACTCTGTCACTCCTTCCCCTCAGCATTCTGCTGTGGAGATAACCTTCACAAACACCGAGTCTTAAAACATGACAGTAGATGATGGAGTTTGACTTTTTGTTTCTGTGTGACACATGTCACCTCTGTACTCTGAGAAGTCCACTGTACCTAACATTCCTTCCTCCAAGGATAGCATCTGCTCCTTCAAATAAGTTCTTCTTCAAAATATACTTTCTATTTAGACTAGAACAGTGACACGTCAGTTCACGAATGCTTCAGTTCGTGAACAGTTTGGTTTGCCCACAGAATCATTTGGCAGCATTTTGCTTCCATTTGCAAACTCTGCATTGGGTGACATTGACATTATGGGGAAATTTGGCTGGGTTTGTGACCCTTTCCGTTTGCAACTGGAACCATGGAAAGAATTAGATTTGTGAACCAAGGTACCATGGTATACCTTCCATATTTTTCTTACATCAGTCTTTTAATTCTTCTTCCCAAATGACTCTCCGCTTCTCTCCCTTTCTCTTCCTTTCCCTCTCTTCCCTTCCCCTCCTCTTCCTCCTTTTCCTTCTTTCCTTTTTTTGTGGCACCGGGTCCTGAACCTAGAGCCTTCACACTGAGCTACAACCCCAGGCTTTTTTCATTTTGAGACAAGGTCTTCCTAAGTCACCAAACTGCCTAAGCTGAGATTGAACTTGTGATTCCCCTGCTTCTGCCTCCTGGAGTGCCAGGATTATAGGCCCACGCCGTCACCCTCAGCTCAGGAGCATTTCTTCAATGCCTATGCAGGTAGGCTTCACGCATGTGTGTGTGTGTGTGTGTGTGTGTGTGTGTGTGTGTATTTCTCTCCACTTAAACAATTACTACCGACAGCTTACAGCACTCTGCTTTGCACTTGAATTTTTCCTGTGTTACAGAGTAGAGAAATTCACTATCCTCATGCATGGGGTCTGGTCCTCACTACTGAAGGTGCTGCAGTGTAACTGCCCTCAGTGACACACGATGGGACTCTTTCCAGTTTTCTGGTCTTTTTCTAACATCATCAGTGCATTAATAATGGACACCAGGGAGACATACCATGCTGATGAGGCCCGTGATTTCACACCAGTTAGTTCTCGACACCCCCAGGCTGAACTATAGACTGCACGTGATTTCAGTCATAATCTCGGAAGACAACTTCCCTCAGAAACTGATAAATTAATCCAAAATTTTATATAGAGGATGCTAAAGACCTAGAGTGGCTAAAATAATTTTACAAAAGTATAACGAGGACTCACGCTGTCTGATGTCAACACCCCCTAGGGTTATCACAGCTGGAGTCATCAACACAGGGTGGTTTTGGTGAAAAAGGAGTCACACAGATGACAGAACAGAGCAGGGTCCTGCGACAGATGGACACAGCGGCACCACAGACACACACACACACGTGCACAACAGACATGCAACAGACACAACACACATGTGATGAACCAGTTTTGACAAAGAAGTCAGCATTTCAAGAGGCCAAGGATCATCTTTTGACAAGTGGTACTGGGACAACTCCAAGAAAACACGCGGAGAATCTGAACCTGGACCCTCACCCGCGCCACAGATACCATGAAGTGGGCAGTATCCTGCACATGGGCGCAAACAAATAACAACAACAACAGCGAAAATGCAGCTCAGTGCAAAGTCTCTGGATTCAACTGCCAGGACTGAAAAAACAAACAAAACCTTCCTGGATAGGTAGAAAACAGTCTTTAAGAAATTAGTCACTAAGTTACCTTAAAAGTGGGTCCCGAGGATAAAGGAATCCTGGGGATACAGTGAGTACCCCTGAATCAGGTCGTTTCACTGTCCCGAGATAAAGGTGGCACTGCACTTAACGGGGAGTGGGGATGGGTGGAACCGCACACGAGCCCTGGCACCCAGCTGTCCAGCACGAGCCAGCCACCCTGTCAGCTTGGTCATCTGGCCTCCCTGAGCAGGAAGGGGCTGGGCCATGGTGAGCCCGCACAGCCATACCCAGGGGCACATGCTCTGCGAATTCAAGCACACTCAAGTCAGGGTGCACAGGTGATTAGCACGGTCCCTGCAGGCCTGGCCTGGAAGTGCTGAGTGAGGAAACAGTTTATTTTTGCAACACCCTGACCTTCTACTAAACCTGTCTCCCATTTCCTTCTGCAGACCTCTCTGTGCTTACAGAGTACCGTTGTTACCGCGCCTTTCTCGGCCCAGGTGCTCTGCAGATGGACTTCACTGACCGGGGCGTAGGCACCTTCGCTGCAGGTCGAATCAGGGCCCTCGTTGGCGTGTGTGTGTTGCTAAAATATTCACTCAATGTGCTGGTCTTTTTCTTAAAACACAAGGTGTCTGCCTTTCTTGCCAGCCCAACTGGCAGGTCCCTACCGTGTGATCACGGGCTGAGCTGTGGAGAGTTTGAAACCCCGCAGGTGGGGCTGTGCCTGTCACAGCCTTCTCTGGTGACACCTGCAGATGTACGGAAGCCCGAAACTCTAGGCTTGATGGAGAATTCCAAGGCAGGATAGAAGAGAGAAGAGTAGGTAGAAAGGACAACTGTAAGTTAAAAATCATACTTTTAAGAAAAACCACAAGTGCAAGACATGAGTTAGCCAAGCTTTTTCCCTTCTAGGAAATTTCACTCACTGGAAACTTCCCCAAAAGGGTTCCAGAGGCAGAAGAGCCTCTACATGGGTTCTCAACCTGTCTTTCACCTTTCCACTGACCTCGGTGACTTACTGGCTTGGTGGTGTTTTGCATTCCTGCACATCTCCCGGGATGGGCACCCTGATAGGAGCACACACCCTAGATCACCCATCTGAGGCCACCCCAAGACCGCGGAAAAACCCTCCACTCCAGACCACATCACTTGAAGGCCCCACTCCATTCTGGTTGTGTACTTTATTATTTTACTTTGGTTGTGTATGTTTAAATTCTGCCTCACAAACCTTTTCCTGCCTCTTCCTGATACTTCTTGAAAAGTTCTTTTTCTGTGCTGGAAGTTAACAAACTGCCCAGCAGATGGGGTGTGTTGTAAGGTCCACATGGCTTGTTTGGAGGACCTCTCCAGACCCTGCCTGGGGACAATGTCATGAAATTATACAGCACTCAGCACAGCAAACAATCCTAGCCACGGTGACACATGGCAACCCCTGGGAGAGGAGTGGAACCTGAGACATGTAGGCGGGAAGCTCCCGCACTGCCCAGGGCCCCAGAGGCCAGGAAACAGCAGGCAAAATATTTGGGGGAATAGATGCAGCTCACCATTAAGGGAGGGAAGCGAGATGTGGAGCAGGAAGTGACGTGTGCCATGACCCAGGAACGTGTGCATGTGCTGGGGGGCCGTGTGTGGCCTGCGGGTGTCTGGAAAGCTGGGGAGACCACCGGGAAACTTACAGCTCTGCTGGGGGATGGGCTCCAGTGTCAGGGCACTGGGACTGGGAGGCCTCCCTGTGTGCAATGTTATCCACTCACTAATTTCCAAGGTAAAGAGGGTATGGCCAGGAGAACGTGGGGTGAATAAAGGGATGCTTGGTGGAGAGGGTACAGTGACGTCCTGAAGGCATGGCAAGCCCACAGGAGGAGTGTCCTGGTGGAGTGACCTTCCTTGAGCCCAGAGGAGGCAGAGGCCGTCAGCCTGGGACAGCTAGCCACGCTGGGCTCTCTGGAACAAACCTGGCCTTGGCCTTTCTCAAAGCTGACAGCTGGCCAGCTGTGTAAACAGTCAGGCACGGAGTGCCAGTCTGGCAGGAGGACCAGGCTGCCTCCTCCACGGGCTGCATGTCTCCTGTCCCTAGTTTGCAGGCCCAGCAGGCCTCGACCAGCAACCCAGGCAGAGCATAGAGGGCACGAGAGGACCCCAGAAGGCCAAGGCTCCCAGACTGCAGACTTAAGGAGAATACAAACCTTTAGACCTCTCTCAGTGACTAAAGAAATGGGAGTTTCTAATCCAGCAGTACTGGGGGTGGGGAGGCTTGCTTAAAAATAATCACAAGCTGGGCATGGTGGCCAGGACCTGTAACCCTGCTACTGGGGAGGCGAGGTCACAGTATTCTGAGTTTGAAGCCAGGAAACATGGAGAGACTTCATCTTGAAACAAAACAAACTCAAAGAAGACAAAAAAATATTAAAGCTGGGTATGGTTGTATGTACTGTGATCATAGCACTCTGGGAAGCTGAGGCAGGAGGATTGTAAATTGCAGCCCAGTTACATTTAGAGAGAGCTTGTTTTAAAATATACAGTTAAAAGAGAGTGGAGATGGATGTAACTCAGTGTGAAGATCCTGGGTTTAGGCCTCAGTCTCCCAATCATATATGTTTTTTAATTTTTTGGGTACCCAGGATTGAACTCACAACCTCACATTTGCTAGACAGGCGCTTGTGCTGCTGAGCTAAATCCCCGGCCCCCTCAGTGTTTGTTTTTAAGCCCAGGATTAAGAAGGAAAAGTCTCTCCTAATTGTGCTGCTGGCACCAAGCATGCCCCTCATCACAGCTCGCACCTGGGTGCACCAGGCCCTGGCTTCAGCACGAGGTTGAGAGCGCACACAGCACTGTGAAAGTCCAGCACCGCGGCCAATAGAACCTGCTGTTGCTCTCTGGGCCCCCAGTGAGACCCTGACACCTGAGTGGTCTTGAGAATCAAGCTGCCCTGCGCCCCAAGCCCTGACTCCCTTCATTGCTGGGCTTGACAGGACTCCCAAGGTGGGCATCTCCTCCCTACTCGCTGGGAACCAAAAAAGAGCTCCGGCCAGAATGCCACACTTGGACACAACAACTGCAAAGGCAGCTTCTGCACGTAGATGGCAAAACTGTGGCTCCAAAGGACGCACACCATTCTCTCCTTCCCTCTCCTTAGTCCTGCCAGGAGATTTGAGCTTGCAGGCTGTGCTGCGCCCAGGCTGCGGGAGGCTGAGTCCTCCACACCATGAGGAGTTTTCTGGGCTTTGGGTGGGTGTGGACCCCGTGCCCCTGGGAGACAGGCAGGAGAACAGGGATCCTACTGCACACTGCCTGGTTCTCACGCACCCCCAGCCATCTATCACCCCAATCCTGGTATCCCTGGAGGAGAGCCGCACGGGCTATACCTGAGCGCCTCCAGGATGGCCCCGTGCGCCTCGTCACGGTACTTCATGCCTGCCAGGCTGGTGGCCCACTGCTGCAGGATGCGCTTCTTCTCCAAGTTGATGGTGTCAATTTCTGTGGAGGCCTGCAGTGGGGAGGGCACATGGGGTGGAGAAGGCTGCCGCCCATGCTTTCCTTACTGTCCCTCATTCCTCCTAACTACACATCCATGGAGAGACCACCAGAAGCTCGACGCAAATTCAACGAAGCCTGGTGCTTCCATCTGTGGCTCAGTACAAGGTCTGTGGTGCTCAGTGCAGAGGACAGAGGAGGAGGAGGAGGAAGAGGAGGAAGATGGGGAGGAGGAGGAACACGCTGGCTGGCACCAAGGGAACACCTGTCCCATACCTGACACCAAGGCAAGACCTGGCAGGTGTCATCACCAGGGCTGAGGTCACACAGGCTGAGCATGAATGTAGCACCTGAGCCCCAGCCTTGGAGAGCCCGTGCCCGAAGGGAACAGCATTTATGGATTTATTCCGAGGAAACAGAGACTCCTCTTGGGGCACAGAGGTTGAGGGGTGACGTGAGCCCAGCATGCCACCGATGACAGTATGTTCTGGCCAGGACACTTTGGCTCCTGTTGCTTCAATGTCACCAGCTGTGCCCTGGGTCCAGTGGCGGCACTTCCTTCTTGTGGCTTTTGGGCTGGATGGGCCGATGCCTGGCCCAGCCTTGCGCTCAGTTTGCAGGGCACTGGTAACATCCTCATGGAGCCTTCCTATCCAATTATCACGACTTCAGTGAGCCGGTGGTGCTGAGCTGGTGACTCCAGTGACTGTGCACAATGCCTGCCCATCAGGACACTCCATCTCGAGGTCACCGTGGATCGGCGCATTCCCAGGGAGGACACAGACATGGGCAGGAGGCAAAGCAGATCACCCTGGAAGCTACTCCTCTCAGCCACGGGTTTTATTGGTTTTTTAAAAATCGTTCATTCATCATTACTTATTACTCTGCATAGAATGGCATGAATTAGCCACACTATGGCTAAGGAGGCATTTTTGCAGGGGTAAGTTACTAACGAATGTGTCTGCTCTTTGTCACTGTGTCACTGTGTCACTGTGTGCACTGTACAGAAGCACTGGCAGGCCAGCGAGATGGGGCCCGAATTCGGCCAGGCTCCTCCCCTTCTGGGCCTGTGATGACGGCAAGCCTTGGGGTCCTTTCCCTTGGTGCTCCCCAACGCTGCCAATGTGCAAGTCAGGATGTTAAGATCATACTGCACTGAGTCTCCGTTTAAGAAAAAGGAAACAAGGTACCTTTTGCGGTTAGAATTTGCAAACAATACACACCCCCTCCTTAGAGGTAGCTGCTAGTACCTTTTCACACCCTTCGACATGCCTGTGTGCAGGGGTCACGTTCTACACACTGTCTTGGAACTTATGAAAAATTCACACACCGTGCGCAATTTCATGTCAACAAATACTGACTTTTTGCTCACATATCCTTGTTTGTTCAACTAACACCGTCTCTTCTAACACGCATAACACGTGGGTCAGCATTGTTTTCTCAGTCAGCTTCCTTGTTTTCTTTTTGCTGTGTCCACTGTAAAGCACCTTATCTGCACACAGGCAGGGCCGTGTCCTTGGCTCGAGGTCCACGTACTCTGCCCTGTGGTACTGCGTATTAGTAGCAGAAAACACACACGCGACCCCCACATTCGCTGTCGCTTCTAAGTCTGTATTCTTCTGGTGGCTCCCCCTCCTCACTTTAGTCATGGTGTTCCCATTACGGAGGTTTTGTCACAGGAAGGCCTACTTCAGGGTCTTTTCCTGTGTGCTTTCCATGTTTGCTGTGCCATGTGGAAAGGGCTCTTAGCACCAGGAGTAGGCAAATGTTTCCCTTTGGGGTTTTTCTGGTACTTCTCTCCCCACCTAAAATTTGGAATCTATTTTAGTCTATTATGAGGAAAAGATTGAATGACTGACCAGGTCTCGAGACAGTTTCCTCTGCTTATTTGTAACCTGCGGAATTCTCCTTCAGCCTTGGCTTGCTCTGCTGGGCTGCGGTGCATTGCCTGCCTTTTCTTGAGTCCAGTAACACATTAACTTGGCTTCTAGGGCTAGGGATTTAGCTCAGCAGCATAAGGGCTTGCCTGGCAAGCACGAGATCATGAGCTCAATCCCCAGTATAAAAAAAATTGGCTTCTAGAGCTTTATTTATGGGATATTTTAATATTTGGGAGAGAAGTGCCAGGGTGAGCCCCATACCTCAGTTAGCTCTGGACTCTTCTTGGTTTGCATGGAAAGTCCCACATTATAGAAAATCCTTTGGCCCCAGGAAAACTGGGACAGCTGGTCACCTACCAGAATCTCCCCTTCCAAAACAATTCTTGGCTAGCACTGTAATGTATTTTTCAGATAAACTCAAGAACCACTGTATCCTTCAATCCCCCCTTTTCCCTCCAGTGCTGTGGATGGAACAGGCCTTGTATATGCAGAACAAGTGCTCTACCCCTGAGCTACATCCTGAGCCTATTAAAAATCACTGGTGTTAATTTAAAAATTGCTCCCCATCTGCTGGAACACATTCCAGATCGATTTTACTTCCAGGCTGTTGTACACAGGTAACTTCATGCTATGAAGTCTTCTCTTGTCCCTTTGTCCTGGACCAGAATGCTGTCGCTTGGTCAAAGGTGCTTTTCCTTCTTTCAGTAAAAGTCTGTTTCCTTCACGTTACTCCTTCACATGTGAATGCAGAGAGTGACTCAAGATTTAAAAGCAAAACAATTAAAAAAAGAGTCACAGTGTGGGCTTCTTTAAAGCGACTCTGGTGCTGGGGGAGAGGTGGGCATTGCCTGGCTGCCCATGGGACGGAGCGCAGCTAGGAAGACTCCAGTCCTGCGGGGCAGGGGCCTACAGTTGGCTAAGGAATTTGTTTAGGACCCCCAGTAAGCTGGTACCAGAAGAGCTGGAGAGAGCGAAGTCCTTCACTTCCAAGAGGATCCTGCAGCCCATCCAGTGACCATCGATCAGCTGGAATCTCCTGGAGTCCTCTGACCCCCCGGGGGATGGTGAGGGATACAGAAGCTTAAGAAGCACAGTGTGAAAGGCCCTCTCTGAACTCAGACTTGAGCTTTTCTGAGGACACAACTGGTCCTACCAGTTCATCCACATACATGCACTAAATGGGGACCTCTGCTCCTCCCAGTTGTAGGGCTGCCCTTACCTCGCTCACCACTTTCCTTAGAAGCTGGGTATCCTCAGCCTGGGCAATGTACTGAGCCTCCAATAAAGAGATGTTGTCTTCCATCTGGTTGGCCCGTGTGGTGAGCTGGTCCACGAACAGGTCCTGGGGAGCAGGATGAGAAGAGACGTGTCTGGACAACAGACACCAAGCCTTGGCCCAAGGGAGCAGGACCAAGGCCCCCACCACCACCTCCCATAGCAGTGTCAGTGATGAACATGCACTGGGTTTGCACCGGGTTTGCAGAATACCTGCTTCTTCTTCTCCACCTCTGCCCGCATCTTCTCCATCTCAGCTTTCTTCACCACCTGCTTTATCACGCAGATGTCATCACGCAGGTCCTGGTCAATGTTCTGCATGTAGAAGAGGTGCAGGGCCAGGTTCTCCATCTCTGTCTGCAGGGCCACCACTGAGGGGGAAAGGTCACTGTGCATCTCCCACGGCCCAGTGCCCTCCCATCAGCAGGGGTCAGGACTGGGAGCCAATTTATATATGAAGACCCAGGCTCTGGCGTCAAAGGATGTACCATCTTGTTGGACGGAGAATAGAGACCAAAATCTAGGCGATCCATGTCCACTGTTGCAACATCTGTCCTGCCTTCTACCATGCACCAGAGATGCCCCCGCCTCGGCTTACGGATGCCCCGATAATGCCTGACAATAAACCTCATATCCACTTTACAGATTTCTTATCGGCTAAAGGGCTCAGAGCCCAGGAAGCACACTGAGTCACACTGACATGGCCCGTAAGGACAGGGCTCTACCCAGGGAAGGGCCTTTCGGGGGCAGCTCAGAGCTCTGCAGCAGGATTTTCATCAGTTCCCAGGAGAGACCGAACCCTGAATTCCTTAGGGTAAAACTCACACAAGACTGATGTATCACAGCCAGCCTAGCCAATTTCACAAGAGCTTGTTTCAAAATAAAAAAGTGCAAGGTAGTCCCAGCGCTGGGGAGACTGGGGTAGGGGAAACTGCTGTAGATTCAAGGCCAGCCTGGGCTCCACGGTGAGTTCAGGGCCAGCCTGCACCACATGGCAAGACTATATCTCAAAAAACCAAAAAGAAAATAGAAAAACCTATTTGTACTGTATTCATTTAAAATGTTAGAAAAAGTCAGTCCATCCTTTTTGATGAGTTGTGGGCCTCTCTCATGGGCTGGCAAGAAACTAGGGAATGACAGTGGTTGGGTATCAGGTCCCAGGATTATATGGGTGCTTTTGAACATTTTAGGGACTTTTCTGATATGAACAGTAATGATTACATAACAACAAAAGACCAGATAGAAAATAAAATCAGTAGAGTTTTAGTAAACTGAGGTTGCTACAATTCCAATGTGTAAAAAGTCCTTCCTATTCATTAATTTTCCAGATACCCTATGTTCTTAAAGGAGAATCAGTCTCCCTGGAATGGGAGTCACTTAAAATATATAACAGAGCGCTATTCAGAATTAGTTGTAAGGGTCAGGAACAGCCTGGAAACGCGAGGTGAGTTTGATTCCTGGTATCAAAATAAAAGTTGTAAATGAGTTTCTGCTGAAGAAATTGAGTGATATCATGTTCGTAAAGCTGTTCCTATGAATAATGAATACTAAAATTGAGAAAGAGAAAAGAAAGTGCCAAGGTATAGCTCAATGGTGGAACTTCTGCCTAGCATTCATGAGACCCTGGGGTCAACTTCCAGTACCGCAAAACAAATACACAAGATGAAAAAAATTTAAAGGAAATGTTTCTAAAAATCAGACATCGAGCCAGTTGGAAGCTGTGCAGTGATGTTTGTTTCAGTGTTGAGGACCAGACCGGGGGCATTGCTCAGCTTCCAGCAGCAGACTGGGAAGCGTTCTGGGTGGGGCTGCGTGGACCAAGGAAGTGGAGAAGGGTGGAGGTGTCTGTTCCTCCGCACACACAGCGTGACCCTTCCTCTGGCTGCTTTATGATTTCTCTCTTTTTTTTTGATTTGAGCCTGTTTGACTAGGACAAGTCTGGAGCAGTTTTCCTCCTTGTCTTGTGCTTGGGGTTGAGCTTCCAGGATCAATGACAGTTCTCCAACCCGGACTTCCATAGTTCTCCTGGTTCTCCCTGCCCATCCTGGTCCCAGTCTCTGCCATCCCTGGCCGTGAGGCTATGCGGAGGAGCAGCGCTCCCAAGGACCTGCTGTCCCTCTCTGGTCTCTCTGATTCCTTTTGGGCAGTTTCCAGCCCCTACCGTACAGCCCCTACCCCCAGGCACACTGACTACTATGGGAAAGCGTGTGCCCTCTAGCTCTGCGGGAAGCGCCTGCTGATTGGTCTGTGAGGAGACTCAGCCGATTTGCTCTGCCGCCAAAGTCCTGTCCCTCAGCACCTGGGGATGGGACTGTACTTGCACACCAGGCCTGAGAGAGGTGACTAAGGTCATGAGAGAGGGCCCATAAAGAGAGGAGATCAGAGCACAGACACACGCAGAGTGGTGACCATGGAGGACACTATCCACCAACCAGGCAGAGGTCCTGGGGGAGCCAGCCCTGCTGACTCCTTGATCTCATACTTCTGGCCGCCAGGGTTCTGTGAAAATGAAGTTCAGTTCAGTTGTTTACAGCTGTCCAGCCCCTGTGCAGCAGCCCAAACAGACTAGATCACACTCTCACCTAATTATGCAAGAGGGTTCATTTGCTCACTTCCTCAAGGAGTTCAACCCCTCTTATTTGCTGGTTGAGTAACTAGAAAATTATATTTCAATATTCTTTTAAGTTGCTATCCTTTTAACTATTAATAAACATAAACCTTTGTTTCATGACTTTGGTTCCAGGGATCTTACATTTTTTGAATTTCCTGCCCATCTCCTTGGCCACTCTCCTTTTTCCTGCTGGGATTTTTTTTTTTTTTTTTTTTTTTTTGAGTCAGGGTCATGGTATGCAGTTCAGGCTGGCCTCGAGCTCACTTTGTAGCTCAGGCTGGTCTTGAACTTGAAACGATCCTCCTGCCTCAGCCTTGCTAGTGCTGGGATTACAGTCATGGCTGTTCTTTGGTCGAGTTGCTCCTAAGAGCTCTTTGTGTAATAAAAACATGGCAAGCAGAATTTTTAAATGGCTTCCGTGACTTTGCCCCTGGTGGGAGTCTGTGACCACAGTACATGTGGCAATGGGAAGATTATCATTGGCCTGGCAAGGGAGCCCTTCCTCCTCTCCTTCTGCCTCCTCCTCCTCCTCTTCTCGTCCTCTTCCTCCTTGTTTTCTCCTTATCCTTTTTTTTCTCCCTCCTCCTTCCCCTCTTCTCTTTTTAGACATGGTCTCACTTTGGTCCTCCTGCCTCAGCCTCCTAGAGTGCTGGGAATGCGTCACCATAGTTGCAGGTGAGCCCTTCAAAAGCAGTGTGTTCCCTCCAGCTTGCCACAGAATCGGTCTCTGAGGATGGAAGGGAATAGACATGGACAAACCCTCTAGAGGACACAGGTGGGCTCCAAGAGTGAGTGAGCTCAGGCCCTGCTGGCCTTCAGCGAGGGAGTGCTGCCTGGCCCTGCAGGAACAAGGGACCGAGTTCTGCCAATGACATGAATGAGCTCGACAATGAAATTGAAGCAATTACAATCTACTAATCAAGAAAAGCCCAGGTCCAGACAGGTTCACTGCTGTATTCTGCAAAAATTTCAGGCAAGTTCTAACACCAGTACTCCTCAAGTTTGCTTGTTTGTTTAATGAAATTGAAAGGAAAGTACTCCAAAATCATTCCTGGAAACTACCATTACCCTGATTCCAAAATCAGACAAATACCCAAGCAAAACAGAGAATCAAAGACCACTTCTTTAATGAATACGGATACATAAGTCCTCAGCAAGATACTGGCAAACAGCCTCGTGCTCGGGGTGAATGATTTGGGTTATAAAAACAGCATGGTCCCAGCACAAAAACAGACATGAGGATCAATGAAAAAGAACAGAAGACGCAGAAATAACCCCAAGTATGTCCAACAATTTGATCTTTGACAAAGGAGCCAAAAACACAGACTGGAGGAAAGATAGCCTCTCTAATAAGTGGTTTTGGGAAAACTACCCACATGCAGAAAGTTGAAGGTAGACCCAGATCTCTCACCACGTACTAAACTTTAATTAAAATGTCTTAAAGAACTAAATGTTAAATCAGGAAAACATAACCAAAAGGAAGACGAAATAAACAAAACTCTAGGCTTCGGCAAGAACTTTTGGAACACAGCCCCTGTTCCACAGGAAATAGTTCCAATATCAACAAAAGAAGTATATCAAATTAAAAAGCTTTTGTACAGCAAAAGAAACAGCCAACCAGAGTAAAATGACAACTGACAGAATGAGTTTCTCAGACAGAATGCTCATATCTAAAATACACAAAGAACTCAAAACAGAAGAACCTCCAAAATAAAAAAGGTGGGCAGCTGAGAGGAATAGACACTTCTCAGAAGAAGTACAAGTGGCCAGTAAGAACATGAAGAGATGTTCAACATTTTTGGCTGTTAAGAAATGCAAATTAAAACAACACTGAGATTCCATTTTACTCCAGAAAGAATAGCCGTCATCAGGAAATCAAATAAAGCCAACGCCAGGGCCCACCTGGGCCCCTCACCAAGCCAAGAGGACATGGGTACCCCATGCCCCGCCTCCAGTTAGCACCCCTGTCCTTCTGGCCCCATGCTGAACCAGGAGGACCTAGAGCTGTGTACCTGTGTTTTCCATGTCATAGGGCAACAGAGGTGACAACCAACAGACTGTCCTGATCAAAGAAAGCCACCCCCAGGAGGACAGGTTTGCTTCAGTGGTAGGTGATACCCTACCACAGAGACGACCTTAGGAGATGGGTTTGTAGAGAGTGAGAACTAAACAGGGATCTCCTGGGATCCCTGGGGGGTCTGGGCTCAGACCAGGAGAGCCATGAGGCCTGCATTCTGTCGTGATTACTAAGTTAGTCCACAGGTTGATTAGCACAGTCCTGGGTGTGGATGATGGAGCCTGCCCTGGGTGTGGGTGGCCTAGCGGGATAAAAGGAAGAAGTGGCGTCTCTGCTTCTCCTGTTGCTGCTTACTGCGTTCTGCCTGCACTGTCCCGCCATGGATTGTTTCCGCTCCATGACGCCCCTCTGCCATCCTGCCCTGCTTTGTAACCAACTTACTATTGACTAAGGCTCAACAAACTGGGAGCTGAAATAAACCTTTTCTCTCTTAACTTTGGGCATTGGCTATTTTGTCTCAGCAATGAGAAAAGTAACTAAAACAGGGGTGCCCATGAGTAGTTCCTAGGGTTTGTCGATAACCAGTTAACTTTGACGTCACTTTTGTGGCTGAATTTACATGACAGCCAATGTGATACAGTAGTGGCTTGCAAGTGGTTTTCTCTCTAGGCTAATGTCTAGGTTGCCTGGGGGTCATAAACAATACTGTGACTCATTTCCAAAGAACAAGGCATTGGGCCAAA